TTAGTTGTTTGAAGAAGTAGAAATCATCGAGATTTTTAATAAGAGTAAATTAGACTTTGAATTTTTCTAATAAAATCTTTTCAGCTTGTGGATAGAAGTTAGAAATATATTCTTTGCAAATTTGAGAGATTGTAACCTTTTCTTGATTCAGAATATAGTAAAAGGTTAGGATCCTAGCTAGAAAGTGAGTATTGATATAAGTGGCTGTAATTTTTTGTATAGCTTGATAAGAGCTGAGACTAGAAATACCATCATTTTTTGCAGCTGCTTTAAAGTAGGCCCTGTAGTAGCTATAAAAATAAAATCCTTTTCTGTGATCATCAGTTTCTACTTCATTATCTTTAGTGAACTGTTCTTTAATATTTGTAGCAAGTTTGTGTAGGAGATTAGTAGGTGTTAGGTTTTGAAAGGTAGCAAGATATTTATTATCTGTATTGAATATAGAAAAATCTAAAGTAGAGTATTTTAATTTTGGTTTAGAAAGTAAATCAGTAGTAGAAGTTGAGGGAAATTTGTCAAAAGATTTGGTAAGAAAGAGAGATGCTAAATTTTTAAAGTTGTGTTCTGTGTTGTTAGGTAAGGTTTGATATGGATTGTCCTTATTATGTATACAGGTGTATATATGATAGAGTGCTGCCTTAGTGCAGAGATTAATATGTTCTCTATATAAGGAAATAGAGTGGATAGTGAAAGTTTTAAGAAGGAAGCTTTTGCTGATATCTGCGAGCTTAGTTGCAATCTGGTATTTAAGAAAATTGTAAGTTTTTTTTTCATCTATTTTGAAGAATTGGCATTGATAAACTTTGAAAAAGGATTCAAACCAAGTATTAAAGTTGGTTATATATGGTTTAAGAGATGGAATACGGAAGTCATTTAAGAACTATGTTTTAGGTATATTGAAGAAGACATTAATATTGAACTTATTATTATTTTGAATTTTAAATAAAGGTTGGTTTTTCATATCAATGGAAGTGAAATAGTAAAGATTAAAACAAATAGGACGAATGTTTAAGTCTTAAATAAATTTGGCTCTGTTGATAGCTTGGTATTCACTATTAAAGAAGAGGTGAAGTCAAACGAAGTTAAGTGCAACATTATAGCGATTAGAAGTAGAATAAGGTGGAATAGAACTGTGAGATGCAAATATCTTTGAATAGTTGAGTTTAGTAAAGAGAATGTGAATAAATTTAGATAAAATATTTTTAAATGAAGTATATACTATATTATCTCAAATGGGATAGTAATATCTTTATTAACAGATAGATATTGTTTATAGATTAGTTCAGTTAAGAACTTGAGTTGTTGTTCTGCCATTTGTTTAATTAAATAGTTGAAGCTATATTTAATGTCTGATCTGTTTACTTTTCTGTTAATATGTCCTGAAGCAAAATTAACAAGAAAAGATTTAACAAACTCAAAGATCTGCTGAGCAAGTAGTGTGTTGAATTTAGTAAAGGCTTCATTATAGAGGTAATAGGATAGGTTTTAAACTAATCAAGGTATCTCGTTTAGATTGTTTAGTATTTTGTTTTTTTTTTAACAATTACAAGAAGTTTTTAAAGATTTTTTGTTTTGTAGTTTTTTCTATTAAGGCAAATTTGATTATATAAAATGCACTGTGTGCTTTGGATATAAGTGGTTGAGTTTGAGAGATAGGTTGGAGTTTGAGTTTGTAAATACATATGATATAAGCTAAGTAACCTCTAAGGACTAGAGTGGTTTTACTCAAAAGTGTGTATTTGTTGTCTTTTAGAAATGTATAAAGAATATTTTTGAGTTTGCAAATAATATATATATGAGCATAATGAGAGTATGCTTGTATTTAAGATATTTAAGATGATTTACCAGATGTTGTAGTTAAAGTATGGTACTATAATTAGTTATATCATGTCAAAATTGTCATAATATAATAAAATTATTAATAAAAATATGTAATAATATAATTTTGACATGACATAATAATTATGGCACCATACTTTAGTTGTGATAGTAGAGTAGTTAAATAGAAATGGAAGAGTAGAAGCAGATATAGATTTGGCAATAAGAGATTGTAGGATATCATTTTTTAGATTTCTGACTTGTTTGGTGTTAGATCGATATTCATTGTTTTAGATTGTTGAAAAGGAGAAGTAGCTTGTCTAGGTAAAATATTCAAGTAGCTTGAAGTAAAGAAGATATAGTATTTTTGACAGAAACAACAAATAATAGCTAGTTCTTCAAGTATGCAAAAGTAATAAAGAGTTTTGTAATATTATATTCACTTGGGTTAAATGTAAAAGGCATTGCTTTTAATTGGCTAGGTTGAGCATTATGAATTAGTGTATCATAACAGTCACTATATTTGTTATGAAAATAGTTCAGATCATAATGATCTAGCTTCTGGTCAGTTAAAGTAGGCATTTTAATGATAAGATTATTATAAGTTTTATAAGAAAAAAAACTTATAATTATTAAATTTAGCAAAGTTGTTTTTAGAGATTAACCTAAAAATGTTAAATTGGATTGCGGCAAGTGCAGCTAGTAGGTGTAACCTTGTGTAACCTTGTATCACAGCAGGTTAGATATATTGTGGCTGGTGTGTTTGTATGATTTGGTGCGATATAACAATAGTATAACAAGAATTGTGTAAAGTTATTAAGACTAAAATAGTAAATTAAATATAAGAATAAAAATAGATGAACTAAATAATATTTTTGTTAAATTAATTAGTAATATTGATTTATAATAGTGGTCTGCAGGTTTGAACATCCTAAAGGGTCAGAAAAAGAAAAAATTTTGCAAAAAAATAGCAAAAATCTTTGCAAAAGAGTTTGCACGATTTTTTAAATAAAATCTTGAGTTTAAGTCAGTTTGCTATGTATAATATATCAAAATAAAGCTCTGGATAAGCTCTTTCTTTTTTTATTAAGAAGCAAGTAGTGTTTATTTAATAAAGTTTTTAGATTTTTAAATAAATAGAAATTTGAGCAGATGTGCTATATCTCTTTGTAGAAGGGCTAAAGAGATACAATAAAAAGGCTGTTTATATGTAAAATCTTATATAAAACAGTTTACTTAACAGGGACAGCACGCAGTCCAGATTTTCCAGAACATGTGATGTAGATCACTGCATATCACGTAATTATCACCTGCAATCACAATTATATCATATGTACAAATAATTCTCTATTGTATCTTATACTGCAATTTATTAAATTATTACATAAATTTTTAGAGTTGGTTAAATCGTTAGTTGACTAAAATTTACTAGTTAATGGTTAAAGGGCCTCTTGTCAAACTGGTCTGGTATTTTAATTAAACAGTTTTGTTACGTATATATATATAAAATCTATAATATATAGAGACAATTTGACCAATTTTAACTGGTCAAATTAGTCATTGACTGGTTTATACTATAAATTATTATCATTATACCTATAGGCATCTTATGACAATATTATGAAGAACCAATTTGTAATTATTTTCGACCTTAATACGAAATAAAAATTTTATCATTTTATTTATATCAAACTTGTGAAATTCGAAAGTGTTATAATAAAGTTTATTCATCTAAATGAATGAAAAAGTATTCAATTCTATAAACTAAAAATTGAACCGAATGAATAAAAAATTTTATAACATTCATGCTAGAATTTTCTTACAACTTCTAATTTATGATTCAAGCTTGGTTTGATATAATTAAATGCATATATATATAATATAAGCTTGAATTATTAGTAGAATTTAAATACTAAATTAGAAATTGTGACTGTCAAAAAAAATTCTATTCAGATATTATTAATTACCTGGTCATCCAGGTAATTGACTTTTTTTATATGATAAAAAGTGTCTATCCTAGTACAATCTCTATACTCAACAAGTTGAGTAACAATTCGAATACCAACCAAGTTGTTTTTGAATTTTGACTGATAGATGAATGTTTCTTAACTAATGACTTTATTATAATAAGAACTGCTTGTAAAATTGGATGAATTCAGTTTAATTTTATAGTATAAAAAATAAATCATCTTGTTAGTTGAAACTAGAAATTGTACCTGTTAAGAAATTTTCTACCTGGGTACTATTAAATTACCCAGTTATCCAGGTAATTTATTATGACTATATAATAGAATTGTCTACCCAGGTATAATTTCTAGTTGAAACACGTTTAAAAAACATGAGCCACAACTTCAATAACATAGCAAATTTAGAAAATTTAATGGTGATCCAAAGATATTTTGTAGCTTGATTGGATATATAAAGGCGTAGTGACTCCTTTGATAAATATAATAAATATTGGAATATCTAAATATGCGTACGTAAGTGGCCATATTGATTGGATATACAAAGGCATAGTGACTCCTGCGATAAATATAATAAAATGAAATAAGCAGACACATTTTTCACGTATATTATTTTTATGGTTCCAAGTAATATATTTCAATAAATTATATACGTGAATTTGATTTATTTAATCAATGCATATCTGTTGTAAAATCGTTAGACTTTTGCGTCTAAAATTCAATGTGAAGCCTATGATTTGTTTTATGATTCCAAATAATGTATTCCAACAAATAATATATGTGAATTTGATTTTTCTACTTACGCAAATCTGTTATGTAATATGCAAAAACTTTCGCATAACTTAATTACTCTAAAATTCAACGTGGAACCTATAAAGTCTAAAAGCGTAAATATTATCATTCAATATAACTTTGAGAAAATTAATTGCTATTTAGTGACTGGTTTATTAACTAGTAATAAAATATAATCTTAATTAATTTGTATTAATGTTAAATCATAATTATAATTTTGAAAACTTGGCCTACATGCATTAACTTAGAAAACTTTTTGTTTATTATGCTTATTGTATAATAATATATTAAATTCTCAAGAAATCTGTATATAAATATCTCTTGGTTTAATTATTGCCTGCCCGTTAGTTCTATTACTGTTCTTGCTTTTAATCGCTTGTAATTCTATTACTCTTCAGAAATTGTTATATTTAACTTCTACTAAAAATGAATAAATGCAATTCTTGTTTTCGTTATTTGTCGCCAGAGTCTTTTATCTATAAAGGAAAAACTTATAAAACTTGTACTAATTGCCTTACTGCTAAAGCTGAAAACCAAAGAAAATTAGATAATGATAATGCTCAACCTGCTATAAAGACAATTTCGGTACAATCCCTTTGTAATTATATAGAAAACTTAATCTCCAATATTGAAAATAATAATAGAATTTCGTTTGAAATACATATTGATCTTAATGATGATATCTTTTCAGAAGTTGAGCCGGATAACCTTAAGGCAATTGTAAGAATAATAGTAGATAAAATTGAAGAAGGTGATGATTATATCTGGTCAACTACAACAGCACCACATACCTCAGTTCAATTTAATAATATTGCCACATATTATTTTGCATGCTCTCAATGCTATGAATTAGAGCATGAATATAAGCAATCAAATCGAAAAAGAATTACTCGATTTGATTGTCATAAAAAGTTGACTCTTCATGTTGATGTACCTGCAATGGAAGCTATATTAAAACTTCATCATGATATTATTCATGAAAAACCTGAAGACGTTTCAACACCAGAAGAAATCAAACAAGAGATTCGTGTCAATCTTCATTTAGATCCAACATAAATTCGTACAATTCTCAGTAATAAATTCGAAATTTTAAATATTACAGCAAAGCAAATTCATTATTGATGGTCAGTATTTGCGCAAGACTCATATAAAACAGATGATAACCATGTTATTTCGGCACTTACATTTCTTAGGTCAAATCGTGCTCCAGGTTGCAAACTCTGCTTCGAATTAATGATTGATAAAATAACTGAAATAGGCTTTATAACATCCCTATTTAGTACTTTTTTATTTGTATTAGAAGTCTATTGCAACGCCACTTATAAAACTGCAAAAGACCGATTTGAATTATATGGCCTTGTTGGTAATATCGATGGCGCAGGTTTTCCTTTAGCATATTTGCTATTGAATATTACAAATGCTCAAGAAAAAGAATCACATGAATATTTAAGGACAAATATTCTCACAGATTTTTTTAATTCTATTCGAAGTCATGAGTTAAATCCAACTTATTTCTATACGGACAAAGATTTTGCTGAAATAAATGCAGTGAAAGAGGTATGACCACAATCTGATATACAATTATGCCAATGGCATATTGATCGAGCAAACAATGAAAAACTAAGAAGCAAAAAAAGAATACAATATACTCAATATCAACCTAAGGAAGCTGCTGCTGAGTTTAGTTTTATTGATTCAAATTTTAAACCAGATTTAAAATGTACTGACCCAGACTATTACCAAGTCTGCCCATTAAACCTATGAAAAGATATTATAAATCTTGTTAGAAAACATTTTAACATGCACCCAAAAATACCTATTAACATGGATGGTAAATTTTTAGCATCTAAAGAGATTCGAAAATATGCAGTGCTTGAAATGTATAATTTTTATATAGAAAATAACTTTATAATATTATGGTCATACCTGTGGTCTTCATGATATAAAATATCATGATGGTGTCTCTGGGCATGTTCAATGCGAGCAACAATTCCAATTAGAAAAACGAATATGATAATAGAAGCGCATTGGAAAGTGCTCAAACATTGTTATCTCTATCGTTTTAACAGACCAAGATTAGATTATTTAGTATAGATTATTTGTTCTCGAGTTTTACCTGATCAAACTACCTGTTATCAACAAATTTCTCTTGGTCAAATAGTACCAAAGTGGTTCGAAGAATTCAAAAAAATCTGAACTCAACTTGCTGCAAAACCAACTGCTGATAATATAGAAGATCATTATGCAATTGATTTAAATTGTTGGATATGTAGCTGTCCTTCATTTTTATATAGCTGATTCCTTATTTGTAAACATCTCATCCACCAGGCAATTGAGAAAGCAAGGTTGCATAATTCAGAAGGAATTCAGCTTATCTATCAAAATTTCAAACGATGAACAGATTATCTATTCCTTATTTGAGATGGTAATAAACCAAGTGATATCATTCACATACCTAACTTAGACCCACAATGGCAACCTGGCACTGTTTTCTTTGCTGATAATGATGATGAAAGACTTGACCTGGATCTCTATCAACAATATGAAGCAAAGGTAGCTAAGTTAGAATATCTAGCAAAGCACCTTAGAGAAGAATTGTCTATTAATAATTTAAGACACGTGAGGAATGTAGTTAATAATATGGACCGAGTATTCACTATGATAAATAACATAAAATCATCGCAACTCAATTCAAAGCATAGTAATACATGGAATGCGAAGCCATAGACTATGTTTTTGTAATAATTAGTTAGTTACTGCAGTAATTAATTTAAAACATAATTCATATAATAAATATACCATTTTCTGCTCAATGTCGACATATAATCTTCAGTAATTACTACATTTTAAGAATTAGAAGGTACTAAATTTATAAAATTAGGGTATTTAAAATTTTTATTATATATATTATATGTAAAAATATATTTAAATACGTTTATAATTACCCTTAATAAAGTTAATAAAGCTATCCAAATAAGTTGAACGCTTTGAATAAGTTGCAAATTTTCTTCGTCAAGTATTCATCAATCATAATTGGTAAAGATCTGAACTTGAGAATATAATGTTAATAAAGATTCAAACATATTATAAAAAGAATAAAAAATAAAAGCCTGGGATTTAAAAGTGAAAGCCTGGAAATGTAATAAGAATTCCCATTTTCGCTTGGCGTCACTCAATTAGAAATTAATAAGTAGGATAACTGTCGCAATACTTATCTTACGTGCTATATTAAACATCGTATATAGTTTGTTTGTGTATGTGAATTAGCTTCTTTGATAAGTTATATAATGTTAAAGTAGCTACACTCAAAATTCGTCTTAATTTTAATAAATAATCTAATAAAAAGTTTATGCTGCGATAAAGAATTTTGCATAAAGTCGCACAGTATATATATATGTGTGACAAAATCATGATCAGCATGTGACAATTACGTGATATGCAGTGATCTACATCACGTGTTCTGGAAAATCTGGACTGCGCGCTGTCCCTGTCGCTTATGCCAGGCATTAGGTGCCTCATGCCATGCCTATGCCTATAGGCATAAAATGCCAGGCACTATTGTAGGCATGGGCACAAAGTACCGGGCACCATTAAAGCATGGGCGCAAAGTGCCGGGCACTAGCAAAGGCATGGGCACAAAGTACTAGGCACAAGGTGCCGGGCAAAGTGCCAGGCATAATTAAATAATAAATACTAAATTTCTGTGCCTGTGCCCATGCCCATGCCAAG